AAAAGGAAAACACTCAACCGAACCATGAGAGTCCTAATTTAGGCAAATTAAAGTAAGTTGATGAAGATTCTCAGCCATCCAGGTAGAGTTTTTTGGAAGTGGAGTCATGGCGACTGGTCTTCTTTTCCGTTTTTTGTTTTTGTTTGAAGTGTTATGCTGATTATCCAAGTAGTTTCTTCAGTCACTCTGAAAAAGCTGCTTGGATAAGCAATGAAACATTCAACCTAATTAAATTAATTTACCCTGACCCCCCTCAAGGTTGTCCCAAGAGGTTGTGTTGCTTTGGGCAAGAATCTCAAAAAGTCCTCCTCTTTCTTCACGAGTCTACCTTCTCACCCACATCGTTGCTAGCTGTTTCGCATTCTCTTTGGCACGACAAGAGATTATCTTCAGTGATTACCACGGATAAGAAATAGAAGCAATTAATGTTCCTGCTCAGAACTATCCCTGACGTCTAAACAGACATGAAAGGTTAGCAAATGAGAATGCTGACGTGTAAAGATCAACATGAAGTAGATCCAAAAGTTTATTGTCAGGAGATGCTCTTTTGATGTGTGGATCCATTCTTATACCAGCCCTTTAGCAATGACCCCCCCAAACTACTATGAACATTCAACCTGGTACTTTTGTGGACAATTTATCCCTCACAGCTGCATTGCTTTCATTCTATTTTTCTTTCCCCATCTCCTTCTAGCACTGATGATGTTGGGTAATGAAATGTCTGCAAGAAAACAAGCAAGTTCACAGAGGACTCCGCAGTTCAACCCTGAGCTACCAAAAAAGAGCCACTCTTTTATCAATCCCATAATCCCTTGCGGGATGGAGTCTGGGCAACCGGATGGAGCTGTGTAATGGCCGGATGTCCTTCCCTGTCGCCAATGTGGAGTTTTGTTCAGCAGATATATTCTCAGTGCGCCCAGAGAAAGAAATATCAGCCTCTACCTAGGATCGAACTCACAGCCTCCTGGTTGTGAGGTGAAAGCCCCACCTCTAGGTCACTGCGCCACTCCAACCCTGAGCTACCAATATTCTTCTCCTATCTCTTCCCTTCTTACTTTGCTGTGTGCACAAATAGCTGATCCCAGAAGCTTCCAGGTGCCACCTCTCCGGTCCATACGCAGCATCCTCAGGATCTGGAGGAAACGGAGACTTCTCAGAGATGTAGCTAGGACATTGCCTTGGTTGCCAACAGCTACCACTGGGACAGAGGCGATCAGTACAAAGATATCTGCGGAGAGAGATAGAGAACAAATCTTGCCCATAGAAAGGATGAAGATCCGAGGACTCATTTGAAAATCTAGATGGTATCCATAGAGAACAATGGCAATGGATTTTCTACAGCTCTTTGTTCTGATCTGGCTCTCAAATGTAACAAACCCTCTGTAGTTAACTAAATGTTTCCTTTATTTGGAGCACCAGCAGCTCTGGCAAAAAGTTCCTGTATCACCACAGGGTCACAAGTCTGTCCAGTAGGGAGATGAATAGTTGTCTGGCACAGCTATTCATCTCTGCCCCCCTGCCTTTTATCCCCAGAGCTAGGGTGGGGCTTTGCTAGAAGCGGTCCCAAGGACCGGCCCATAGATTTCCACTGCTCTCCTCTCCTCTTGTCTTCTGTGCATCCACACATCAGGCACTGGACCCAGCTATTCCTTCTCTTCCTAATCAGCCACCTCCAGACCTGGGATCTGCTGATTCTCTATCTGAGGGCTGATGGATGGCCCAGGTTCTGCCTCTGTTTTTTTTTCTCTCTTTCTGCCAGCTCCATTCCTTCTTCTTCCTCGGAGCTGTCAGGTTGCCTTGATGCTAGCCCTGACTCCCATATCTCCTCCTCATCTGATTCGGCTGGTGGCCAGCAGGGGAATTTAAGAAAACATATGTTTCAGGCTCATATAGTTTCCTTGTTTGCAGCTTTATCTGCATAAGTTGTTTTAGGATGACGATAATATCACCTACACCAGTGGCCCCCAAACTTTGGGGCACCATGGATTGGAGAAAGTTTTTTCCATGGACGGGAAGGGGCCTGGTTTTGCATGCTACTTGCAACCGACAGATGGGAGTTCACTTGTTTTCACAGACCAGTTGCTGGCATATCGTGGACCAGTGGCAGTCCACGGACCAGAGATTGAGTATCCCTGACCTCCATATCTTCTAGACTTTATCAATACAGGTAGTCCTCAATTTATGACAGTTCATTCAAATGTGGGTGCTTGGTTGATAGCTCTGGTTGGATTGGCAGATGGTTTGTCCTGATAACGGGGGAGGGCCGAGAAGGGAGGGGCGGAAATAAACACAAGTGTTTACCATAAGTTTGGGAAGTCTGTCCTTTCACACTACCCAATGGGGTTGTTGTAATCGGGCTAGAGCAGGGGTTGCCAACCTTTTGGACCTTGGGGACCACCAAACTCATAATTTTAAATCCCATGGACCAGAGACTCTGGGAAAATCCCCCCAAAAATCTACAAGAAAATTCCCCACCCTGTTTTCCTACCAATCGATCATTCTTTATTTGGGATCGTAGGATACCGTCTCCAGCTCCGTTCTCAGGGAGAGGGGGGTGGAGGGGAGAGAGACTTTTGGCTTCATGCAAGGAAAGCAGCAGAAGCAGCAAAAGTCTTTCTTTCTCTCCCCCAAACTTCACCAGAAATTAGTCTTTGTGAGCCTTCTCGTGCCGGTACAGCCTCTTGGAGCAGGATGCCTTGCAGGGTCCCAAAGACTCATTTCTGTCAGAGTTTGGGGGAGAGAAAGAAAGACTTCTGCTGCTTTCCTTGCGTGCAGCCAAAAGCAGAAGAAGAAAGAAGCAGAAAGAAGCTTGCCCCGTTGGGCAAGTAGGGCAAGTCCCCCCCCTCTGCCTTTTCCCCCTGCCCTCACTATCTCGTGTTGTTCGTAATGTAAGTGACGCAAGCCTTGTGTTCCCGCGGGCCATGTGGGTGGCGCAGCCTTGTGTTCCCACGCAGCCTGGATAATTGCTTTGGGAGATTCTTTGGGAGTGACATTTCTCTGCGGACCACCAACATTTTCTCGCAGACTATCAGTAGTCCCCTGGTTGGTGACCCCACTGTGCTAGAAAAGCCCTGATGGATTAGAATGCTACATATAGGTCATTTCTAAAAGTTAGAATGCAAATCAAAATGAGGAAATAATCACTTCTCTCATCAGACCTGGGCTTCTTTCTTTTTAAAGAAAAAATATAATTCATTTATTTTGGGTGGTCCTTGAGTTCCCTCTAGTGGCAACATGGCCATCAAGCATCCAAGCCACAAGTTAACGCTTCTATTTATAGAACCGTCTTTAAAATATGCTGTTTTCGCATGGTTTTCCACCTCAATGCACTTTGTGTTAACTTTTCTAGTTAAGAGTGATGGATGGTGGGGGTTCATTACCATGGCAGAGTCTATTTTGGTGTCTCTGAGCAAAAAAGAAACCTGTAACTGATTTATTTTCCACTCCTGTTCGGAAAAGAAGCCATGATGTTAACGCCTCACGTGCTTACCCAACATACACAGAGGCTTTCTGGCAAATTTCAGCCTCCCGCGCCATCCCTTGTATCGACAACAGCAGCCAGCTGCCCAGATCCTTAAGGCAAATTCTGCTCCGAATATGAAAATGGCAAAAGTTTCCTATCAGAAAGAACAGGGGAGGGTGGAGAAAACTTGCAATAACAAAATTTTGAGAGGAATATATATATAACCGCTCGATAAAACCATTCTTAGGTGCTCAAAAGAAATTATTTGGATCAGGAGCATCTCGCTGGAAGCAGAATGTTTCACAAATGGGTCAATCTAACCCGTGGGCTGGGATTGGTGGGGCCAGTAGTCCCAAAGAAGTATTTATTTATTTGGTTTTTATCCTGCCTTTATTATTGCTTGAATGTACGTGTTAGAAGGTAACAGACATATCCAGTGGTGGGTTTCCAAATTTTTTTTTCCTACCGGTTCTGACAGCATGCATTTTGCACGTGCTGGGCTCAAAGACCACTCTCTGAATCAATGCTGATGAGCTGTGCTGTTTTATTTAGCTCAGCTGAAGCACGGCAATCTGCTCTGCTGTGTGGATCAACTGAGCTATAAAGCAAGGGAGTATAGAAGAGGTAACAGGGGAGACAGGTGGGTGGGGCCAACCAGAGGTGGTATTTGCCGCTTCTCCGAACTACTCAAAATTTCCACAACCGGTACGCCAGAACAGTCTGAACCGGCTGAATACCACGTCTGGACATATCTACTATTCCTTCTTCATCTTACTGTCCTTGCAACAACAACCCTGTGAGATGAGATGAGCTGAGAGAAAGCGACTGGCCCAAAGTCATCCAGCTGCCTTTTGTGCCTAAGGCAGGACTAGAACTCACTGTCTGCTGGTGATTGGACCAAAGTCACCCATCCAGCTTTCATGCTTAAGGTGGAACTAGAACTCATTGTCTCCTGGTAATTAACCCAAAGCCACACTGCTGGCTTTTATGCCTAAGGTGAGACTAGAACTCACCGTCTCCTGGTGATTAACCCAAAGTTGACACTAGTTTCCTGGTTCCTAAGCCAGCATCTTCACGACTAGGCCAAACTGGCTCTAGAGCAGCACCCCCTAACCTTCTAGGGACCAGGGACCAGTTCCACAGAGGGCAGCTTTTCTGCAGACTGGGGAAGTGGCATGTTTTCGCCCGTGGCCTGGATCCCACTTCTGCACAGATGGGACTTTCCTCACTTGTGCGTCTTGGTTCCTGGTGGGCATAGACCTGTTGGGTGGAGGACCCTTGCTCCAGAAGTACCCAAATTGGGGGAGACCTTTTTAAAGCCCATTCAACGATGTTGAGGATTCCCAACAATTCCAGAAGACATAAGGCAAGGTTGTCCCAAGGTCTCATCCATTATCCATCCCAGACCACTGCTCTATGCTTAGACATATGTTCCTAGCCATAATTATACCGATGTGAGCAAGACGTGACCCGTGATGACAGGTTGCAAGCTCCACCTTTTTGCATGTGCTCAGGAACATCCCATGCTAGTACTCAAGGCGCATTAATGTGCTTTTGGATCCCTTGCTCCTTCTTGCCTCCTCCTGCAGGGACTTATGCTAAGGTGACCCATTTCCAGACTTTGCTGGAGCTCACAAGCCTACCCTGAAAAAAAAAAAATCCAGTTTGCTTTGGAAACTGAAGTTATGGGGAAAGTTGAAACATTCTGGCCCTCGTATATTCTATTCCAAAGTCTGAGAAGGTCACTGGAAGAGTCACGGACCTCTGTAGAAATGGTCCCATCTCAAAAGAGCCCATGTCATGCCTCTGTCAGAGTCTGAATCTGAGGAGGAAGCCAGACAGCTGACAGGGAGTGGGAGGGTGGCTCCGTTGGCTGTGGAGGAGGCTGGGGAAGGGCAGTCCAGCTGGGCAGAGCAGGGGAGAGATAGAACAAGGGAGAGGGAGTTCAGAGGATGAACCAGGCCCACCCTCTCTTCATCCTAGGGCATGCATGGAGGAACAGAGAAGAGAGCAATGTGGGTTGCGTGGCTTAAGGGGGAGGAAAGGGCCCTGATTCCCTTCATTAGCCACACCTGGGAATGAAAGTTGATAAGAAAGGCAGGCTGTGTGCGGCAGGCTGCTGGGAGCAAACGTGACTTTATCCTGTGTTGTGGTGGCTTATCTGTGTTCCTGGCGTCTTCCCAACTGTGTGAGTTTTGACGTCCTTCAAGTCTGGAATTCTTGCTCCTGCCCTGCCAACTAATTACTTCAGTTTGGCTTGTTTGGACTTTACGTTACAGTTTGTGTTGCTCATGTTTTGGACTTGATTCTCTGCAGCCCAAAGGCTGTTCCTGGGAGAGTTTTTCTCCAGCCAGAAGGTAACCTGGACATTGGGGGCAAAGTTGGAGATGATAAAGGAACTCTTGTTGCTTATCTGATTGTGTTGCCTTTGTGCCACGCCCTGGGTCATCACAGTCCATTTCAAGCCTAGAACCCTTCTAGAAAAGTTGAGATGGTCCATTCCAACCATGGAATCTTTCCACTAAATTTCCAATCATAGAAGACATCCTGTAAGGTTGAATTGACCGATTCTGACCTCACAGCATTTTCTAGTAAGGTTGGGAAATGCTTGTTCCAATAACGGAGCATTTCCAGCAAGCCAGGAACAAGCCTTCAAGAGTCAGGACATTTTGATTCTGATCTATTTTGTCCACTTCTACTGGAAACCAACGAAGTCCCTTACATCAAGAAAGACTACTCCATCCGGGACTGTCTGCTCTAATGCAATAGCTCTCCAAGGGCAGGAGCAGAGGTGGCCATCTGAGCTTATTAACTGGAGAGGCTAAGGATTGAAGAGTGGACCTTTGGCTATTACAGCATGCCCTTGCGATCTCTTTTCTTCCTAAAATGTCCAATTAACCCCCACATTTCATTAATAGAGGAGACTGTCTATGGGATCCCAGTGACACAGCCGACCTCTGTTAGATGGGGTTGCTTCTTTGGCAAAGCGATATAGCCAATTTTAGAGGCTGCTCGCTCCTGCTAATTTTCCCATTCATGCAAAGATTTTACTCATGGCTGGCTTTCTTTTTTTTATCATCTAGAGCACTCAATACCATCCATGTCTTGGAAAGTCTTGGGTCAGAATGATCCATTAAAAGAGTACTTAATCAATGCATTCTTGAAGCAGAAATACTTGTGTTCTTTTATCAGCCAGCCAGCCATTTAGAGTTGCTCTTCACCACCTATACTAGATTATAAAATCTTCAATTAAACCCTGGCAAGTGGTTTTGAGTTTTCACAGAGTTGGAAGGGACCTTTGAAGGTCTTCTAGTCCAATCCCATGCTCAGGCAGGAATCCTTACACCACTTCAGACAAATGGTTGTCCAATCTCTTCTTAAAAACCTGCCGTGATAGAGCATTCACAACTTCTGGAGGCAAGCTATTCCACTGATCAATTGTTCTCACTGTCAGGAAATTTCTCCTTAGTCCTAGGCTAGTTCTTTCCTTGATTAGTTTCCACCCATTGCTTCTTGTCCTACCCTCTGGTGCTTTGGAGAATAGCTTGACTCCCTTTTCTTTGTAGCAGTCCCTGAGATAGAAGTCTGTAGAGATTCTCAGTCATCCAGGTTGTGGTTGTCCCAAAGGTGCTTTTTCAGGAGGCAACTGGACTTTCTTTCTTGTTTTTTCTTTTGAAGACATTTCACTTCTCATCCAAGAAGCTTCTTCAGTTCTGATGGGATAGTGGGGGAATGGAAGGATTGATATTCCTTGTAGGCAGCTGGTCATTTGCATCCTTTTAGAGGGTCGTTGAAGCACTTGGAGGTTTATCTGGATCTTCAGGGTCACCTGAGTAGTGCCCCTGGTTGTCCAAGTGTTTCAACAACCCTCTAAAAGGATGCAAATGACCAGCTGTCTGCAAGAAATATAAATCCTTCCATTCCCCCACTATTCTGTCAGAACGGAAGAAGCTTTTTGGATGAGAAGCGAAAGGTCTTTAAAAAAAAACCCAAAAAGTCCAGTTGCCTCCTGAAAAAAACACCTTTGGGACAACCCCTTAGCTATTGGAACATTGCTATCCTGTCACCCAGTAGTCCTTCTTTTCATTAAACTAGACATACCCAATTCCAGCAAACGTCCTTTATATGTTTTAGCCTCCAGTCCCTTAATTTTAGGCTCTTCTCTGCATTGTTTCCAGAGTCTCAACATCCTTTTTTATATTGTGGAGACCAAAACTGGACACAGTATTCCAGCAGTGGTCTTACCAAGGTATTATAAAGCCATCGAGAATTAGAACATTGTTGGTTATGAATGGGGTGACACAACTCCAAACACAGCCGGTGTGCAATCTGGGGGTACCTCTGATCTTTAAATAGCAGGTGGGAGTGGTAGCCAGGAGGGCCTTTATGCAACTTGATGTTGTGTGCCAGTTGAACCTGTTTCTGGGACTATGAGGTTCTGTTCTCAGTCACTCATGTCTTGGTCACCTCCTGAATAGACTACTGCAGTAGGCTGTACCTGGCACTGTCCTTGAAAGTGTACCCAGAAGCTTCAGTAGATATAAAGTGTGGTGGTATAAGCAGATATATGTGGGTCCTTAGATAGATACATCTTACTCTCTGCTCTGTGACCTGCCTTGGTTGACAGTTTGCTTCCAAGTCCAATTCAAGCAGAGGTGGTATTCGGTAGGTTCTGACCAGTTCTGGAGAACCGGTAGCAGAAATTTTGAGTAGTTCGGAGAACTGGCAAATAACACTTCTGACTGGCCCCGCCTCCATCTATTCTCTGCCTCCTGAGTCCCAGCTGACTGGCTGGGTCTTCTTTTGTTGCCCTGCACAGGAGAAAGGAGCTGGAAAGCAGGTTAGTGGGGTGGGGACGGAATGGAGATTTTGCAGTATCCTTCCCCTGCCACGCCCACCAAGCTACACCATGCCACGCCCTCCATGGCACGCCATGCCCACAGAACCAGTACTAACTTTTTTAAAATCCCACTACTGAATTTAATGTGCTGGCTTTGACCTTGAAAACTTGATGTGGCACGTGCTTATGTCATCTGAGGGATCTTCTCTTCGTGATTACATTTATCCCCCTCCAGCAGGTCTCACCCACAGAAGGGTTCTACCTGATGGGATCTAGGAAGTGAGCCAATTTGGCCACTGCATCCGCCTTCTGGATCATCGTCCCTCCTAAATGAAGTTAGATCACCCCAACGACCTTCTGTAAAGCTCTCAAAATGTGAGAGGTTTTATTTTTTTCTTCTTCCCCAGAAAGCCTCAGGATCAAATAGGTAGCCTGAATTCTAGTTGTACTGCATGTAAATATTTCCCCTGTCATGGTCTTGTTTTATCCAGGTGGATTGTTTTAATGAGATTGCAAAAAGTTTTGAATACTTGGTTTTATTGCCCCAGTGGTGCTTTTTCAGGAGGCAACTGGGCTTTCTTGTTTTTTCCTAAATAATATGAATCCTTCCATTCCCCCACTATCCAGTCAGAGCTGAAGAAGCTGAGAAGCAAAATGTCTTGAAAAGAAAAGAAAAGCAAGGAAGTCCAGTTGCCTCCTGGAGGAGTGAGAATGTCTACAGATTTGGTTTTGTTGTATGCCACTCAGAGCCACTTTGGGTGAAATGTGTGGCCATACAAATTGGACAAATAAATTAAAGGTATTAAACTCCTTCAAGGGAAGGAACCCTGTCCCAGTTGCCTCGGCAGAACAAGGATATCAACAATAACTTTGCAATAAGCCCATCTATGCTTACCAAAAGCAACAGCCAATATCCAGAAGCCTTTTCGTATTCTCCAAAAGTGGTCAGCACTGCTAAAATCAGGCATCCCAGCACAATCAGAAATCTGGAGGACGAGAGAAGAGGGGAAAGGAAATATTACCAGGTGTTCTTTCTACCAGCAGTTCTCTAAAAGAGTTGGGGCAGAAGAGAGAGAGAGAGAAAGGTTCTTGTTAAGCCAAGGATCCAATGTTATCCCCCAAAATACAGGTAGTCCTTGACTTATGACTACAGTTGAGCCCACAATTTCTGTTGCTTAAGGGAGACAGTTGTTTCAAAAGTTTCGCCCTATTTTACGACTTCTTTGGTCACAGTTGTTAAGTGGATCACTTTAGTGGTTATGTTAGTAACCCGGATGTTAAATGAATCTTAGCTTCTCCGTTGACTTTGCCTATCAGAAGGTCACAAAAGGGGATCTTGTGACCCCAGGATACTAAAGTTGTCATAAATACGAGTCAATTGCCAAGCATCTGGATTTTGATCACGTGACCATGGAGATGCTGCGATCATTGTGTGAAAAACAGTCGTCAGTCACTCTTTTCAGTGCCGTTGTCATTTCAAACGGTCACTAAATGAACTTCTGTAAGTCAAGGACTACCTGGAAGCACAATCCTCAATTTAAGACCATTTGCTTAATGACCATTCAAAGTTACAACTGGGTTTCTCTGAAAATAAGAGTGGGTCTTATATTAACTTTTGCTCCAAAAGATGCATTAGGGCTTATTTTCTGCTTAGGTCTTATTTTAGAAGAAATATGGTACTAAATGCATCCATCTGG